TTCTCCTTAAAGGCTTAGTCCTAAAACTGAGGGTTTTCCGTGAATCTAACGCAGTGTTACAGGATGCCCCTCAAAGCCCCATTGCGCCCGTTCCCTGCTCACCAATCGCGAAGAACAGCCCTTATCAGATCATTAGAGTTCAAAAATCTTGGTTTAGTATTGTTTTGACGTAAATTTCGGAGCATTGGCCGCATTTCACGTTTTGTTTGGTCGATCAAGCAGATCAGTTGGAATGATAATCAATGTGTTTTGAGTTATTACAGCGGGGTTGTTCATTTGTTCTGCGTTTTTGCTAGGACTGGTCTCACCAACGAACGTTGTCCTTTTCGCCTTCTCTGACTCATCGTAAGGCGAGCATGTTAGCGTTCACGTTGGTATTCGTGCTGATCTTAGGAACTTTTTTTCAGGATCAATCCGTATTCCGTCTATGCTGTTTTAGTTTGCTACACTTAAGACTAGGTGCTGGGAATGATTGTGGATTTGGTGAGTGCTGCTCGTCAAGCAGATTGGGATCGCGCTCGTGAACTCTTGTACCATCACTGGGGTTCGGAATGTCCAAAGCTGTACGCACCCAATCCCGAACATCCGTGGGAAGTTGCTCAAGATGATAAGGATATCAGTAAGTTTAATACATCCATTGATTTTGAAACGGTTTAAGGATTACTTGAATCGATTCTGGTGTTGGCGCTATCGCAAGATACGGGGGCATTGCAGTGGCAACGCACTCAAAGCCTCGTAAAACATCTCTTTTCTGTTAAGAATTGAACCAATCTTCAGGTGGGAGAGCACCTCCTAGCCTTAGTCCTAGTGGGTGCCCCCGTCCATTGCGATAGCGCCCTGGTGTTATTTCTTTTCTTGAGATGTACGTCAATTTTGGAAATTGTAACTTCATGGCTGACCTTTTAGATTCGGCACTGTTCGTACCATTGGCTGGTGCTTTTTGTGCCAACTCCTCGGTGACGGACTCTTCCCTTCGGCCTCTGATCGAACAAGCTGGTCTCTCCTCAGAACGTCGTCGACCAGGTCAAATATGTGGTCATGTCTTCAAGAGCGGTGAACTCACATACAGTTGCAAGTAAGACTATGTATAACAATTCTTGATTACATTCATATTTTATCAATTTGAATTACTTATTATTAGTATTACGGTTCTATCACCGCCCAATACCTTTTCCAGGGATTGCGCAACTTGATGGCCACATGTGTATATGTTCAACGAATGGCCTTTCATTTATCTAACATAAGGCAACATAATAAGGTTCGTCCCGCTAACTTATACTTTTTGTTTACCCTAATTTTCTGATTCTAAGTATTAAACACGATTTGACAAACTATTGGCTGATTGAGGGCTCTTCTCTCCAGTAACTCATAAGCCTCACTACAGCGTAACCGTGAACCATCGTACTCTTCTTTCTGAATGCTACTTAATCAGAAGCCCACCTGAGCAATTTTTTTCGAAGTGTTACCTCATAATTTCAATGTTATTTATTGGAACCAGCGACCTTGTCTTTGTTTGATATTTCTGAGTAACTTTTGATTCTTATTTCGATGCGGGGTAGTTACGGGGGCCATCACCATGCAAAGTGAGCTCACGAAGAGGGGAGGAATTCGGGGAAACCTTAATTGCTTTCGTACTCCCTCTTGCGATCCGTCCTCCAAGGCCCTCTCACAGAGCAAGGACTAGGGGAGAGGGGGTATGGTTTACTAGGACATGAAGCGAATTTTTCGCTTTTTGGAGCGCGAATGTTTTTCGTTGTGGGAACCCCAGGTCCACCGCTGATCATCAGTGGACCTGGGGTTCCTCGCAGCGAAAATGTTTCGCGCGCGAAACGCGGAAAAGTCGCTTTCTGTCCTAGTGAACCACACCCGGAAGTGGGTGTCGGGTGCATGGGCTCTCTGCATAGTGATGCTGCCCCCCCTCACCATCAATGCACCATTCCATTAATTTCAAATAATGTTCCTTTACGAACACAAAGGCTTCATTCAGATGCACACATCCACGGGTGCAGGTTATTGTGACTGCGGCGACAAAGATGCGTGGAGAAGTGGCTACGCGTGTAAAATACACGAAAAGAACGAGAACGAGTGCGTTTCTTATTCGCATGCTGTTCCGAGTGCTATTTTGGCATGTTATTGTTGCTTTTTCATTTCAGCGCTATCCCCTACTCATTGCCAGAGTCTCTCGAAATGAGACTCAGAGGATTGGCATGCCTTATTCTTCAGTATTCTACAAAATTAATATGTTGGGAAAAAGCTGATGTTCTGCCAATAAACCTGACAGTGTTAGAATGTTTACCTCTTCAATTGCTTATCGTTTTCAAATACTTGTTGGCACAGAAAATTTTACAGAGTTCCAATGGAAAAGCCAGAGGTACCAAATATTGCTCCCTATGTGACCGTATTGTACAATGACGAAACGCACACATATGAAACGGTGAGTGTTGCAGTCATCAAGCTGTTGTGTTCAGCACTTCAAAAGATTTTTTAGGTCATTCGAGCGCTGGAAATGTTCATAAATTGTACTAAGGATCAAGCAATGTTAATCGCTACAATTGTTGATCGTGAAGGTCGAAGTTCGGTAAAGGTTGGACCGAAACTAGACTGCGAGCGAGTCAAATCTGATATCCAGGTCGGTTAAAATGTACTTTGAGAAAGTATCAGTGTTTATATGATTTATTTTGACCTTCATTTAGCGCCGCACTCTCCGTGACGTGAACAGGCGAACTGAAAAGGCAGGCCCGCTTGATGTGAAAGTAATGGACGGTGCCTTGGTGGCTCATCAAAATCACGCTATTGCTCTTTTATCTTGGTTGAATTCGCAAATAGATTCTTTTCGTGAGTAACGTTATGTCATTATTGTCGCTTTACTTATTTTTTACCCCCTAGTTGTTGCGGTTATTAATGGCAGTTAAAGAAATAAGGTTAACGTGAAATTATGAAGAGAAAAAGCTCCAAGTTCTCGGATGAAGAAACCGTAACAGAACGTTTTCACAATATACATTCTTATTCATTTCTAATCAGTTCTCGCGAAATTCAATACCGCAGTGCTTGACGTCATGCCTCATTAAGCTGAAGGCAGCTGTTTGTCGAATGTTTCAAGCACTTCAGACTTCTAAGTGGAAAATGGAAGTAATTTTTCAGCAATTCTCGGCATATATGTGGGAGTATTTTTGTTGAAGTTCTAGGTCGAAAAGGGGTGAATGATTGATGAAATCGAGGCCCAGGAAAACGATAATCCGTTCGACTCTTGCGGTGGTGACAAAATGATGCGTGGAAATGTTGGTGATCTTCTCTGTTTCTTTATGAAACTTGCACATGGCTCTTAGGCTTTCTTTGATAAGGGGCATTTTGGAAGTTTCGGTGACGTACATGCGTCAATCAAACGCATTTATGTCATTGTATCATTATATATGTCATTACCAAGCTACTTTATGGAAGAATAGTGTATTATCGGTTGCATATCTGAATTATTCGTAATAGGGTTGATTGTAGCCACGCTGCGCGCGGCTACTACTAGTTGCAATTTATACACTGCGCAAGTTAAGGAAAAAGGTATTACTCAACAATATACAAGAGTAACAGACTCAAACCCCTCGATGAAAAATCGCTAACAGAACGTTTCACAAATATAACATTCTTATTCATTTCTAATCAGTTCTTGCGAAATTCAATACCGCAGTGCTTGACGTCATGCCTCATTAAGCTGAAGGCAGCTGTTTGTCGAATGTTTCAAGCACTTCAGACTTCTAAGTGGAAAATGGAATTTTTTTCAGCAATTCTCGGCACTATAGTGGGGGATATTTTGTTGAATACTATGGTCGAAAAGGACGATGATGAACTCGAGGCCCAGGAAACGATACTCGTTCGACTCTTGCGGTTTGACAAAAAGATGTGGAAATGTTTGTGATCTTTACTCTCCTCTTTATGAAATTGCAATCATGGTCATAGGCTTCACTTTGGTAACGCGACGTTGGCAGATTTTGGTGACGACGGCGCTCAATCAAAGCGCATTTCTGTTCATTGTATCATTGTATATTGTCATTAGGGCAAGCTATTTTCACAGAATAGTATGGGTTAGTATGCTCATCGATCCGGGTTTAAACGTGATATTGTTAGCTGCGCGTGCTAACACTCACCAGATGTTGATGAAGACCGTACTCATGAATTTTGAACAGAAGGTATTCTTCTCAAAAACGTTCCTCGAGGTAGGTCGTTCAGTTCCGTGGAGGTCTTTTTTATATTAGATCTCATTCTTCAGCACTACGATGACATTTACGCTGAGTTTATTGATGAACGATCATGACATCGATATTTCTGTAGTTAGCCTAACCGTGCAATTTTTGACGGTCCCCAGCATAGCAAGGTAAATAGAGATTTTTTATTTCGGCTTCCTCTTTTGTTATTACTGTTGATCTAGACGTTTGATTGCTGAAGATGGTGCTATGCGGACAGTGTTTACAACGCTTATGAAACACACAGACAAATTCACCAAAGGTTTACTCTTGAATTTTTTCATGTCGTCATAGCTTCGTTGTTTCTAAAATTGTTTTGATGTTCAGACAGCCACCCTAACGATATTTCTCGATTTGACTTGCAATAAAAACCAACTCCTTACACCGGGTAACTGCTGAGAAAGAGGGATCATACATAGAATGCGTGAATCTAGCAGTGGTTGTATCCTTAAAACCGCATGAACAAAACTGAACCAATTATGTATTTGACGAGAGCATCCGAAAAATTACCTGGCATCTTACTCATTAACCGCACAATTCTGTTGCACGGCTAACTAACATAATCTAAACATGAGACCATTATAGGATAATTTCTAACATTGCGTATCCTTACGAAGCAGACTTGGAACACGATCAATTAAAGAAGAGACGATTTAATCAAAGCGATGATCAAATCTCATCGCAACTACAATACTTTGCATGCGCTCTGCCATAGGGCTTTTCTGTATATTATTTTGGTTTAAATATCTTTGCTCAGGGTCTTTAAAAAAATCCGATCGGCTACGTAGTACTACAGACATTGGTCGATATCAGTTTAGCTGGCAGACTTGTCCAAACAGTTACAAGCAAAGGCGGGGGGGCAAAGAAAGAGTTCTTTCATGGCGCCATCATCAACTTTTTCTTCGCAGGAGGTGCCGCCATAGATGGCGTTTTCATGACCGATCTTCCTCAGATGCCCCCCCCCTCACTTCCCCCTGCTTGAGATCGGAAGTCAATTACATATTGCTTCCGTAACGTCGCCCATCTGAGGAGCTTTGAAGCGTCTCTCAAATTCCACTTGGAAAGGTGCATGCGTCATAAGAATTTACTGGTGAATTGATGCACTCAATATTTTCACTTAGAGCCATTCCTCTCTAGAAGCCACTATCGACACTGTCTAAAGATCCTTAAATCGCTCCACTGTTACTCAGTATCGAGTTTGCATTTGTTTTGCACTTAAGACGTGTGCCCTAGCAGCTTTCTTGTCACTTTTCTTGGTTTGGTTTTATAGTTTGTTGATTGCAGGGGATGGATGAAGTGAAACGACTCTCTGTAGAACATCAAGTTTGGGAATTGGAATGGGAAACAGCATTCAACATTCAACTTCGCATACAGGATAGTCTGGGCTACGTTATCGCTTGGGCGGGATCTGACGTAAGTGTGATATCTTTCGTATTCATCACCATTTTGTCCCATCTAGCAGTATTTATGGACTTGCAAATCATTGCTGTTCTAGCGTGCAACCCATCGTGCATTCTTACGTCTTTGCCTTGATGCACTTCTGCTTCACCCTCCTTCATGCTTGGAAGAGCCGGCAGGGGCTACTCACACTGTCGTTGATGGTATATTTATTCTAGCTTTTGTCAGCATCACAAACGAATGCTCAAATTCACTTGTTCACGCTTTCAGTCAACGGAGAATCAACAGTTATAAGTCCATTTGACGTTCTGCGTGGTGCTGTATCTATCCATCAGCCGTTGTGGCGTCTAACAGCAGGATTGTTCACAGTTAATAGCGATCTGCTGCATTTCCTATTGCTTCCTGACTCCAGTGATTTCTCAGATGATGAGAGATATATTCGTCAACAGATGAGAAAGATGGCTACCATTCTGTATGAGATGCCGCTCAGGTGAGGCTAATTGGATGATCTCATTCTGCTCAAAATCAAACACCATTTTCAGGGCTCTTGTTTTGTGCGCTCAAGCATCTGCTCAGTTATGGCGCCGTAATGGATTCTCATTGGTGAATCAAATTCACAATTACTACTCACCGCTCTGCCGCACGGAAATGTTTGACCGCGACTTGCTGATGATGCAGGTTCGTATTTATGCTATTAACTTTAGGTTAGAGTCAGCCGTATCGTTCGTAACTATGTATGTTTTTGCTCCTGATGTGTAACGTCCGCGCAGCAGTAGATCCATTTCAAACCTTGAAGGTGTTAAAAGAATTGCCAGTGCATATCACGGGTGCCAATTCCGAGTTCAGTAGCTACATGCTGTTTCGTGAGTCCATTGGCGTTGGCTTGCGAGATCATAGCCCAATTTGTATTTATGAGCTAATACCAGTTTGTCTCCCAGCAACGGCCGAGACCTCACTTTCCCCTGCGAATGCCTTGAACCTCCGCTGGTGCTCTTCTTCTTTGGCAAAGTCAACTCTCCGAGGAGGTATATGCCCAAAAAATGTATCCTGCACAGAGAAGGTTCTTATTATAAAAATGGTCTCGTCAGAATGGTACCTCAGCACTCCTTCGGGCCTTAGTTTTCTTATCACTTTATTTCCCTGTCTTAATTTCCCTCCCCTGCCCTCCAGCTGCCACTGAAGTGTCATGTAAAATGACCCAGAGTGTGCTCGATCGGTGTTCATGTAGTAGTGGTGGTGGAGGGAGAAGGGGTGTTATTACAGTCATGACATCAACATCACGAAGCATAGACCTCGCAAGACTTCGAGCTAGCCGTTCGATGGTGGTTGGTTTATTCTATCGGCCTTCATTTCGCGAACAGACGGACCCACATGGATTGATGGTTTGGTTAGCCTGGCGAAATTTGATCCCAGATTTGTCCGTGAGCTCGGGAAGAGGTACCTATTACTACCACCTCCGCCCATAGTGGTTTATGTAGAACGGGGAAAATGTGCAAAAAAAGTGAAAGCTAAAGAAAAGTTGGGACTATGTTGTTGTTTAACGAGCATTGTCAGTCTTGATTGCAATAGTGAAAAGTTGCAACCTCCCGACTGTAATGAAAGATTGTTTGAGATTATGAACGGACTATAATGAAACAACTGTACAAGTTTTGAACTTCGTTTATCAGGTTGGAGCTGCGATACGTCCACCAACGGATTTTCTGCTGCACATCATATGCCGATTCCGATTAGTACAATGGGCTGATCAGTCTGGTGATGGAGGGTCGAAGCATTCCACTCCATTTGGAAAAATGGAGCCTGAAGAAACTGGAAAAATCATAGTCATATTGGCGGAGGAAATGCTGCATTTACTGATTATGATACTTGGTTAGCGTTATTTTGCGAATTGTTTTAGTTGCGTTCTTGGAAATTCATTGGTCAAAATATAGGTGAAAGATACCATCCTGGTGTGGGAAAATGTACGTTCACGGAACAAGTGCAACGTGAAGTAATCCATGTGCTCTGTACAGGACCACAACCCTTCAGCCACGTGAGTGTTCTGATTTGATACTCTTAGCAATAGGAGTTCATTTCGTTGTTGTAGATTCAAAAGCGGATGTCTCACGATCCTATGGTGGAGCGCATATCTCTGCATGAAGTCGTTAACAGTGTCGCCAACTTCGTGTGAGTTAAAGAAACGATTTTTGAGCAAGGGGGGTGGGTAGGATCAACAAGTTTCAAGAAGCGAGAGCAAAAAATAAGATGAATAAAGCTACAGCTGTTATTAAGATTCTTTCTCGAAGTCTCCTTATATTGCTTTTATGTCAATACTTTACTTCCAGAAAGCCAACAACAACGTCTGCTGGACAGTGTTTCATTTTCTGTGAAAGATCTCCTATGGTAATCTCATCCTGAATTACAACCTCGTTTTCTACCACTACTCGAAGAGCGACTTGTCACAGGCCGAACAATATCAGCAGAAAATCCGCTCGAAACTCGATCGGTGAGATACAGTGATCCACACAGTTTGAACAATTGCTTACTTTTCCAAGAAATAAAAAATTAAAAATAATTGTTCCATTTCGAGGTAAGTTACAAGCGTGTCCACCGCCTGTTCCCATCGAATTTGAGCCATTCTTCGCCTCTGTTCGAAATATATTAAAGACCCCATGTCTTATCAAAATCCTGAAGCTCGTTTTGGATAGAACAGGAAAGCGGAGCCGTTTCTCGAGTGATCGTCTTTTCCATAGGTATGCTCTCCCTATACGTCACCTCATTTCTGCGGTACGGGTATTGAATCCGCACTTTTATGTTTCTGAATTACTTGCGTATCATTTTTCAACGAATGCTCTGGGTTTCCTCTGACATCTGTCTCAAAGTAATGCCACACAATTAAGCGTGTTGAATTTCGTTTTTTATTCACGGATCCTTCTTTGCTCCACCTAATGAACTATAACTTTTTGTGAAAAAAAAACATTGAAGCGGCACAGCAAACCCGGGCACACTGTCGATTGTAAAAGAAATTATGTTTGGAAAGTCGATGTGCGATGCAAGAAGACATTCGTCAGTTTGAAACCACGATGGAATCTGCCACCGCCAGTATTCTGTTCATGATGCTAGCTTAAAGTATTGTGATTCTCGCTGAGTTATATACATATCTTCAATCTTGTTTAGTATGCATGCCGTGGGAGCGAGTTTCGTATGATTCAAATCGAATAATTTGGAATTGAGATCATTTCCATATGTTATTTCGTCCACGCTGCACGCTGAACAGATTTGTACGATAGTTTTTTCTATCGCTGTGTCCTTGTTTTGGTATCCTCTATCAGAAACATGAATTCAAGAACTACCTAAACCATAAAATTTCATTTTTGTATCATAGCTCGTTTCCTTCTTACGAGGGAAGGTCATCAGGCCGGTCCGGCCATTTGCAATGAGTCGTATACCGTTGAAGTCGTCCTCGAGGCGCTGAGCTCAGAACTGCCTTCCTTATCTGCTAAACGATTCTCTGAACGTAGTTATAAAGCAAGGAAGCGCAGTGGCAGTGCCCCAAAACTCGCGAGCAAGAGGTCGTGGGAACGGCTCCTCGGAGAGTCTGTTTCTTTTGTGCTTCGTGAAGATGGAGCCAGAAAAGCTTCTAACTTCTTGATTTATCAACTTTGCCGTTAGTTCCCTGTACGAAAAAATTTCGAGCAGTTCCTTGCAGGTTTGGGCAGTAGTCGTCCATGAATATGAACATGGTGCCCGTAATGCACGTGTCAGGCTTTTTCGCGGCAAACAGGCGTGTATTCGTGTTCAGGAGATCAAACTACCCTTGGAGATAAGTTTCCTACCGAATCTGAGATTTTGACCCAACCCTAAAAAATGAGGTGAGTCAACCATCATATCATCAACCTATCGTTGAACTCTTGGCATGGAAATTGCTCCCTTCCAACCAAGATTTTGAAAAGAGAAACGTTCAACGGCTCACATTCCCGCACTCCTGAAATGAAAAATTCAGGGAAGGTGCTTTTTCAGTATAGTTTTCCACATTCCATACCTTTCTTCTTACTCGTAGTTTTTTCGGGCGGGAACGCCAAATAAGTAGTTTTTTGTTTTTGGGGGGGGTCGAGGGGGGAACTGTGCCCTTTCTCGAGTGTAGGTCAAAATCTCAGATTCAGCTGGAAACTTGTAACCAGGGAAAATTCGGTCTCCTGAACACGAATATCATATACTCGTTTACCGCAAAAACACCTTATCAGTGGGCTATGAGCGTCGTTTTCAGTCATGGCAATATTAATTAAAATATAGCTCTCAACCTGCTCGCAGTGCGTAGTTGCTTCCCAATTACACGAGGCAGGTAAAAGACCAGGAATTGAGAGAGACCTGTTCGCTAAAGCCTTTCTGGTCATGCTTCTCAATAACATGCCCAAACACACCAAACACCACCGAGAACGACTCCCGTAGATCCTCGAGCATATTCACCACTTACGCCACGTCAACCACGGTATGCACTTTCCCGCTTGGCTTAATAGTGACGACTCCAATGATAGCGCTCATATACTGCGTTTAAGTACAGTGTTGAGGGAAAACTTCCGTAACTCCGTTCAGAGTACCGTTTAGCAGATACGAAAGGCGGTGGCCTGGGCCTACATGACTTTTTGTTTGGGATGGTTTACTAGCTTATCGTCGTTCAAGTGACGAATAGCGTAGCGTAAACACTCCTCATTGCACAATTCCGGACCGGTCCGCTGATTGACCTTTCTCGTTTCTTCTTGGAATTGCAATTTCAGGCTCTGTTCTTGATCGGTATGGCTCTGCAAGAACAAGCTCGAGATCCTAATCGCTTTGTCTTCACGGAAGTTGCGGAGAAAGAAGAGATCCTACGTTCACTGGAATCTCTTTCTGGTTCAGCTGAAGTTGCCACTCATGCAGACCTACTTTGGTGGACAATACAGGTAGGTCGGTATAAGGCTACCGTGATAATTTTGTTTCAAAAGCAATACTTCAGAAATACAAAGAGGTACAACGTCTGTCCACTACTGGGCAAACAACTGAAAGACGTGGAGAAGTAATAGATAGTCAGGAGAGTCCTAACGATGCGAAGGCAAAACGGGCTGCTCGAGCTGCAAAAATGCGTGAACAAGCGATGTTGAAGGTTGTTAGCCAGCTTTCCCTTTCCTTGACAGAGCTATTAATATAGGGTTTTTAGATGTCAAAGATGCAAAAGTCTTTCTTGAAAGTCTTGGAAACAGAGAATCCTGCCTCAACGGAGCCGGCCGTACAGGACGGCATTTTGGCTGAATTTCGTGGCGATGATGACGAAGATTTTGTGAGGTTGGTCATTTCATGAATTTGGGATAGTTCCACTGCGCCGATGTGAGTGTTTGGTCGATGATATGAGGAACGAAGATTGGCGCAGAAACATTGTGTGGCATCTGAGCGCATACTCAAAACCTGTGGTCTCTCGGTCTACCTAATCCTTTGGTTCACACCGTCACTTATTTCGTGTTGCTAAAATGGCTGTGTTTGAGGAGGGCTGGAAACGCTTCATGCAATTCCTGTTTTTTGGAAATATCTTCCAGTTTTTGTGCTTAATACACTTTTCAATTCTTGATTGTTGTACTTTCAGCAAGCAACAAGACCATGGTTTCCCCGTTTGTTTGGGTCCTCAGCGAAGCCGTGTGGAGGAAGTCTTGCCACGAAAAGTGACCTGCATACTTTGCCAAGAGGAAGAAACACTCTCTCCGGAAAATGGAAAAGCATTCGTTTGTGCCGCCTACGTCCAAAAGTATGTACTGGTACCTTATTCAAGCAGCTTGATTTTTTATCAGGTGTTTTGCAGTTTAATCACTATCATGACCTTTTTTTCGATTTCGAGGCAATGTTAGATATTTACTCGAAGCGTTTCCAGGTCGCTGCTCTTTGCGCAGCAAGGTGAGCCTGAAACTGAAGCCAAGCTGCGAGATTTGGCACCGGCAAATCTTCTCTTTGGCGTTGACGCTTCAACATGCTCACATACAATGCATTACGAGTGCTTCCATAGGTAGTAGTTTCATATCTAATAACTTTTTAGCTCTTGAATTTTTAGGAAACCTATTTTATGAGTGCTTTTCAGTGAGTAATGATTCTCTCATTACGAAAAATTGACAGTGATTTTTTGATAAGTTTTGATAATTTTTGATAAGTTGTCATTTTTTTCAGTCTTTCTGAAACCCTTCTAAGTAGAGAACGCCAGCGTCCGCGTCAGCAAATGGTTCTCAATCAAAAAATGGTCGATCCGGAGGTCTGAATTTGCGACATAAATCGTTTCTTCCCTGAGTTTACTTCTATTTCAGGTTGGAGAGTATCTGTGTCCGCTTTGCAAACGTCTTTCGAATACTGCTATGCCTTTACTGCCAGCATTGCAGTTAATGGATATCGATGGGTTCGTGGATTTGGTGTTCCTGTTAACCATATGGCATTTTTCATTTTTCAGGTTTTCCACAGCAAGCAGCGATGCACCTGAAAACTTCGATAGTTGGGTTAGCCGAGTGAAAAGTCTCTTGGACACTCCGCTTGTTCGACAGACTCCGACACAGAAACCAAAATCACATAGCAGAAAAAGGTGAAAAGACTTCAGTTGTAAATTCCCTTGTAAAGGAAATAGGCTAAAGGAAACCGAGTTGTTGCCCTCCCTCGTTTGATTTACACGGTCGAATTTAAGAATGATGTTACAAGTGGATTTATTACTAACCTTATTTGCATTCTTCAGATCTCACTCTGAGCGGTCTCTGCTGGAACTAGCCAAGCAAGGTGATGAGCTCTCCACAATGCCCCTGGATAACTCTTTGTCAACGTCAGTGCCATCTGCTTCGACTATGTCGTTGTTGTTGGGCCAAAATGCTTCAGCTCGGATGGTGTCTCAAGCCGCTTCAAGCACTTCATGCAATGCAATGGGTAAGTGTTGCCCAAACACTTCGAGAATTCATTACTTTTCAAACTTTTTTCATGCTTTTCACTCTTTTGTCATATTATGTCCTTGACTCCGAAGGTTCATATAATTCTCGAATTTCTCGTGAACTTTTTATTAAGAAGTCGACGTCGAGGAAGATCCTCAGAGAGCTGTGGATCTATTCCGTGAGATGACAGAGATCATGCGTGTTCAAAAAATTCGGATGTTAGAGCGGATGAGGTATCGTCGCGGTTCCATTCGTTGGTTTTTATTGTACCCATTGTTGCTACTCTTACTGCGAGTGAATTTAGCCGATCTCACCAGCATTCGAGACTGCCTCATCATCAAACTTTGACGAGCTCAAGCGCCGACGAGATACACTGACGAAGCGATAGTTCTGGTGCACGATTCGGTTTTCTGGGAGGTATAATCAAAGGCTTGCCGGCTGCAGGAGTTGCTGTACTGTTGAAGCTTCTACGAAAAATGTACTTACGTTACTTAACAGGATTGTTCTTTTTGTTGTGGACCGTTCATAAAACCCTGTATTGATTTTTAGCGTTGGTCCGTCGTATGAACGTTACGAAGAAATGGTGAAGGTGTTCAGCAGCATGTTGATCCATAAGGTCAGTCACACCAACTAGATAGATTGCTGTACTCGAATAATTTTCCTCTTTCGTATTTTTCAAGAGGATCGCTCATACACTTTTGTGTGCTTTCAGTGTCCGATTTATACTACCTAGTGTAATTATGTCGATTTGAGCTCATTCGTAATACCTTGGTTTGTGACGTGCTTCGCATACAAAATATATTTAGATCGGATGGCGAGGTGCCGATTAGAGTCAAAAGCTCGCGACGCTCACGACGATGTCCACAGTCCACCAGCTGCGCTAGCTGTTTGGAAAAGTGCTGCTCATGTGGCTAGGACAACGGCCGCTGTGCTAGCTTATGAGCGAAAACCTCTCTTCTGCGCCATGAACACACGTCAGGTTAGTTGTTCAAAATGCTCTCGGTTTCAATAAGGCCAGTAAACTACTTACTGTCACGTGTATATGAAGGTTCCTCACGCAGAGCTACGGATCTCAAATTTCTAGGCAGCACAACCCAAAATGGATTGCGTAAACGTCATCGATGATTTGGCACTTGCTCAATGGTGGCAAGCTTGAATGATATAGATAAGCAAAAAAGAGGTGTTTGGGTAATCCATGAATCGGGAGGAGGCAATATGAAACTTAATAAAACGGTCCCACAAGCTGTGTTAGTGACGAAAGGGTCGAGATGTTGCGATTTCGTTTTTAATAGAAACGCTCGATCTATATCCTTTTCTTTCATCTGAAAAGCGCAGAAGTAACGCTTTTACTGATTTTCCAATTGGATTACTTTGAATCAGCAACTTCTAATTTTTTATTCTCGTTAGCAGCGGTATTTTATTACGCTACAGAAACCATGAGCTTCCATTCCATAACTGGGTTCATTTCCATTATTTCTATTGAAATAAGAGTTGAGTGCTTTTTGCCCTTTCATAAGTTCCATTATTTGAAATGTACAGAGTTGCCAAAAAAGAGTCATTTCTTCCGTGGCGCACATCACCGAACTTTGTCGCAGAAGTGCCGTCGTTGATTGAAGTTTTATGGCAAAGCTCTCCTCAAATTTCGCCCCATAAGTAGAACGAGGCTCTCCTTCATTTACCTTGCCGTCCTCAGACATCATTTGGCGTTCCGTCTCGCTCAAGGAGACCGTAGTCGCTCTGGCCTGATGCTGCCACATAATTTCTTGAATCGGTTCACTGACGGATAGCTTCTTGGAGATAGTAAATAGTTCTTACTACGCAGGATCCCCCGACCAACCTTTCAGATAACATCGTGTGGTCCACGCGTCGAGGCACCCGATGAGCTTGAACCGTGCACTCGCATACATATTTACTCACAGACCTTTTCGCCGAAATATTTCTTACGAAATAATTTTCCTCGAAATATTTATTTTTTTACGAAATAAGTACTGACTCCTTGCATATCATTTTACAATTACTGAAGTTGAAGTAAAATGTTAAAGCCACTCTGTATAAAGAAATTTACAGCGTGACTGTCTCCTTGCAATGGCTCGTCTCTCAGCAGTGCTTTCCTTCTGCATCCAGCTTCTACCGGACTTCATCGCAAACATGCTGCGGGTTCTGCTTTCACCACCTCCACTAGCGACAAGTTCCGGTGCTGCCCCAGTCAGTCCACGATCACCGGAATATCACACCGCTACCAGCCCCGTGCACAGCTTCACAAATGCCAGGTATTAATGAGATCTCAATTTTGTTAACAGCTTTGACGAACGAATAATTATGCGCTTTATATCATGACAACTGTTGCTGTTCCGTAGCTAACCATAAAATCGGCTATTGCTACTGAGTTTTTTTTTTGCTGAACATGAAGGAAGATCATGACAACTGTTGCTGTTCCGTAGCTAACCATAAAATCGGCTATTGCTACTGAGTTTTTTTTTTTGCTGAACATGAAGGAAGATCATGACATCTGTTGCTGTTCCGTAGCTAACCATAAAATCGGCTATTGCTACTGAGTTTTTTTTTTTGCTGAACATGAAGGAAGATCATGACATCTGTTGCTGTTCCGTAGCTAACCATAAAATCGGCTATTGCT